CATGGTGTTTGCTTTCATCACGGTTTGGTCACAAAAAACCATTTTGAAGAAGAAGAAACAAAACGTAAACATGCTATTTGCTTGTTGGAAATTAGCAAAGAAAAATCAACAACTTGTAGCTGAATGGGGATATGTTGGTTGGCATTTACTCGAACACTTTTGACCAAAAAAAGAGCCATATTTGAATGAAGAATTTTCAGTTACCAAACTACCCCTGGCCTAACTTAACCAATTGTGAATAGTCCCAAAAATATAGATGCTGAAACCAAGTTTTACAGATAAGAGTCAAAACTCTATTTTTGTAGCATGCCATACTGGTTGGATCCTTATCTTCGATTAGCATACTCAGTTTCTGATACCCACCAGCCTAGGGAATTCATCAAAAACTCTCCTTCTTATAATCAAATCCTCTGTTTTCTCAGAAAGCAAAACAGAGAATAATCAGACTCAGCCTGTTAAATATCTGAGATGGAACCGAGTTAATGGATGTTGGGAAACTGAAACCGAGTCTTTCGAGGATCAGAGCTTTGGAAATACTATCATCAAGCCACATTTTCTAGAATGGGGATTAGCAAGGTGGCTGTTGCAAATACAATAACCAGCCATTTGTGTGACCTTAGATAACATAAAGAGAAACTTGATGGCGAGAGAGAGAAGAGGGCAGACTCTAGTTGAAGTAAGCATACAGAAACTGCTATAATTACGAAAACAGAAAACTATTTCTTTTGAAAATTGAGTTTGCTCATGAAGAAGGCAAAAAGAGAGGCAACGACAATGGGAAAAGAGATGAGAACAAACGCTACAACAGCCAGTGAATCGTGTTTGTAGCCGAAGTAATCCTCCAAGAAAGCTGAAACTCTCTTCTTCTCTCCAAATACTAATATCTCTTTTTCGACATCTCCGTACTGTGAACTCAGTAAGCCTTCCAACACCCACGATGTCGGGCTCAGGTAGTACATCCATATCCACCATTTTGGGATTTTCTGTGGAAAACGATACATTTTTTTTCATGTTCATGAGTCTAAAAGTTCATTTCAATCCACGGCACAACAATCTCTCTTTTTATAGAAATGATATACAATTATTATTTCAAAGCAATGCAGGAAGAATTTGAGTTAGATAGACCTACATAGCTCTAAGCCTACTGTTTATCGATGCAATTAGACCATAGGTTTCATGACACATACTTCATCTTAGCTATATGTAAAAATGGCATGAGAAAGAAGGATGGCTTACCTGTTTTGGAATGACAAAGCCAGCAAACAGATTTACCATGGAGAAAAACGTCGAGCGTAGAGTCAATGCCATGTGAATATTAGGCGTCAAAGCAACCATAAGCATCCCACAGTAGTTGAAGATTAGCAACGAACAGAACATGCTATACAAGCTCCAAAACAATTTGTAAACTGACATATGGTAGCCGATCATTGGATATACGATTATGGTACATAGAAGGGACTGGAGTAGTGAGTATGGAACCTCAACTAAGACCTGCAAAACATTAAATACCTGGATCAGGTAGAGACATTTTGGCCAGTAGATTCTAGAAAATTATTGGCATCCAATAGGAGTGGAAGCCTAAGCAATTTGCTATAAGATCTATCTCATCAAAGTTGACAGCACCGAAGTTTCAACAGAAACATTTTTAACCTGAGAAAATGAATACGCCCATGACGAATACATCCGCGCAAATCTTTCACGGTAGAAAACATTGCGTTCGGTTGCAATGAAGTTCATCACTGTCGCACAGTTATTTATTCCTGAGAAGATTACTACAGTGTACATTGACCCAAATATGCTGAAAAGATCTTGCTGATTATTTCTGCAGAGTTTAAAAGAAGCACTGATAAATCAACATAGTCCCTTGATCCGTATACGGTGGCATTGATTGAGACTTACAACCATATAATATGAAATGTGGAGCGGAGACGTACATGTCCTTGGCTTTTTGCCAGAAGAGAAGGCCACATAACGTAGAGTTGATCAATATAAAGAACATACGAGTGAGATTGTGTGAAGGGTTTCTCCAATACGAGCAATGTTGTTTCCAAAGGCAAGCCTTTAGTTGCCCCCAACCTGTTTGTGAAAAACGCGAAGGAAAGCTCAAAGATTCTGATCCCAGAGACGCGGTACTCAGTTGCTCAACCATCATCTTGTTCTCCCTGCCAGAAAGAACCGAACAACCAGCACCTCAGAACAATAGTTTTCACGTACACATGCAAGGATTATGAGGGCTGCTGCACAAAGACTCACTTGTGCAGAGTTGAATCCTTGTATGCTTGAGCAAAATCCATTCCAAGTTTGTCCTCGGCATATTTACAAGTAATATCTAACATCCAAGTGGCTGGATTACAATTCTTTTGGATTTTTGGAACTCCAGGAATGCTCTGTTAATAAAATAGTACTCTAAAAGTTATTTTGTGGAATCAAAATCCCAGCCGAGAGTGAAACCAGTCTAGTATTGTAGAGAAACTGACCTCAAAGTAGTCGATAACCTTACTTGAATGTTTTCCAAGAGGACCATAGTAGACAAGCTGTCCCCCATTTTTCATCAGGATTAGCTGCAATTAAGAGAATGAGAACCTGGTAGGGGCATCAAAGATGAATTTAACAATTTCAGACGTTTTACCTCATCAAATGTCTCAAAGATATCTATGCTGGGCTGGTGGATCGTGCAAACAACCGTTCTCCCAGTCTCAGCAACATTTTTCACAGCTCTCATAACAATGGCGGCGGCTCTTGCATCTAACCCGGTGGTAGGTTCATCCATAAATATGATGGAAGGGTTAGCAACAAGCTCCACAGCTATAGTCAGCCTTTTGCGTTGTTCAGTGGATAAACCACTGATTCCAGGAAGTCCCACCATGGAATCTTTAATATCCTCAAGCTCAACTGTCTCAAGAACTTCTTTGACGAGTTCCTGAAGCCAGATCCAGAGTATAGTCAGATTAAATTGCTGTCAGTGTCTTGTTGCTGATTCTTTTTGTCTGATTACTTACATTCTTGGTCTTTGAATCAATGTCATAGGGAAGCCGAAGCCAAGCAGAATATTTCAAAGACTCTTCCACTGTTATGTGAGGAGAATGAATATCAAACTGTTCACAGTAACCTGATACTCGTGCAAATGTTTCTTGAACCTTAGGATACCCGCCTACTTGGATCTCTCCCTTGATGATACCGCGGGTTTTCCTTCCCGAAAGGACATCAAGGAGAGTCGTTTTCCCTGCTCCGCTGACACCCATCAGAGATGTGAGAACTCCGGGCTTTAATGCGCCTGTGATATCAGAGAGAAGCTGCCGCTTCTTCCCCTACGAGAAACATGAGTCACACGTAAACTTGTGTCCTGTTTGAGAATTTTAAATTATCTCAAAACATTCATACTGGTCTAAAACAATGTTTACCTGAGGGGTCTCAATATGATACTGCACGTTTTGAAATGTGACAGTGAGAGGTTTGAAAGGCAAAATGACTTTTCCTGTGAAAATAGATCGAAAGATGTGAAATGATATCTTCTAACAAGGGATGGTAGTCACTGGCCAGTTAAAAGTTAAGAAAATGGATTAGATGATAAATACAGATACCTGTTTTAGCTCGGGACGTGATTTCAGGACACGGTTTAAAACCTTCTTCTGAGCGCTGAGAGTTCTTCCCGTCAGAGACAGTAGCACGGGATCTTTGTGGATCTTAACAAACAGAGATAATCTTGTCAATATCATAGTTAAGTAACACTTATGACGTCATTACTAATATCCTCTGTGGTGAACTTACTATTCAGATATGTCAGGGCCAATGCGTAGAGGATATTGAAGAACAATATAAAGCCGATTAAAGCCCCAAAAGCTATCCAGTAAGAATGCCTACCGAAATTCAATCCACGGACATCTAAAATTTGTTCCCCGGCCGTGGTGTTGCCAGAAATTAACTATTCCAAATGATAAAGAGGATCAGCAAACTAGAGTTTCTAGAAAAATGTGAAAGACTTCTGAAGTATTATATTACCTTTCTCCACCGTGGAGCGAAAAATTCATTTGCTGTTAGACCAATCTCAGCATATGACAATGGAGAAAGCCAGAATCCCCATTCCAGCCAAGCAGGCATGGAAGCTGAAAAGATGGAGCATTGTTATAAATAAAAAGTTCGTAAATGTATGACAATAATGTTGCATATAGGTGTAAATAACACTTCAGAAGAGTAGAAACATGATTAAAGAAAGTCACCGGAAACTTACATTTTGGTATAACGAAGCCTCCAAATGATGAGAGAACCAATATAGAAATAGCTCCGGTGATTGAGGAAGCAACGAATGTGCGACAGATTGCCGCTATAGCGCGAAACATTGATACACACGAAAGGTTAAGTGCGAATAATATAAGGAACTGACAAAAGAACCTGAAAGAAAGTAATACTCCCTGTTAGAAGCAGTTTATTCAACTGAATTTGGATTCATTGTTGAATCTATCTATAAAAAGAAAAGAAAAGAAAAAGTTATTTACCTTCCGACCTCGGGGCTGTACCCAATGACATAATATGTCAGTAATGTCCAAAGGAATGAATCGAGAACCGAAAGAGGTATCTTTAAGATAATTGAAGGAATCGCATATGCCCAAGCAGGATAGAAGTATAAATCTTTCTGTTTGCAGAACACTCCCAATCTAGAGAGAGTCAAAGTGAGTTCTGGAAGCCCATCAGCAAGAAGTCTAAAGAGAGCAGTGAACAGAGCACCCATAAGATAATTCCCATGAAGAGCATCGGTCGTAGCTCCAGCTTGTAGAAAAACGGTCATTGTGACTAACGCATTGAAAACTAACTGCAGAAAAGAAAAAAGGTTAATATACAGTGGTAAATGATGATGAAACCTTGGTAGAGTAAAGGAATGTACCAGTCCAGATTTAAA